GCCCGCGCCCTCCTGCCGCCAAGCCCGGCGCCATGGGTGCGCGGCCGCGTGTCCCTGTGCCCGTGTGTCCATGTGTTCGTGTGTCCCAGTGTCCGTATCCCTGATCCCGTGTCCGCGCCGGGAGCCTCCGCAGGTGCCCGTTCCTCCCGGGGAGCAGGGGAGCGCGGCGGCTCCGCGCGCTGCCTTGGTGCCCCGTTCCCAGGGCACGGGGAAGGGCTGCGGTGCTTCCCGGGAAGCGGGGCCAGCCGCGGGCGGAGGCACCCGGCGGCTCCTTCCCCTTTCCCCCTTCATCCCGCTCTGTGTTTGCTGTACGAGAGTTTGGTACCGTGGAAAGAGTGGCACTTCCCTTGTCACCTTGCTTTCCTGGGCGGGTTTGTGGCACTCTGCATCTCTAGATTGTATTTTTTCCTTTTTTTTTTTCCTTCCAAAAACGTCATTTGAAGTAACTGTATAATGCAAAGTGTCGCCTGGTCGAAAGACATGCCAGTGCACGACGTGATTCAGAAAGTCTCCCTCTCTGTTGCAGGTTAAACCTACATTTCCCCRCGGGAGCCGGCGGTCCCGCTGCTCCGTGACGGCTGCCGGCGCGTGCCCAGCTCCCCGTGTGCGGATCCGGTGCTGCGCGCRGCCCTGCGGAGGCGCTTCCCCCTCAGCATCCCGGCTGCAACAGATTGCCCGGAGCGGCACCGCTGGAATTATGTGAGCTGGCCTCGCGCCGCTCCCGAAGCAAACATGATGAAAACGGAGCCTTCGGGAGAAAGATCCACCCTGCGGAGTGCCTCTCCTCACAGGAATGCCTACAGGACGGAGTTCCAGGCGCTGAAAAGCACCTTYGACAAACCCAAGTCAGATGGAGACCCGAAATCGAAAGAGGAAGGAGAGGCCTCCCAGAGCAGGGGGAGGAAGTATGGCTCGAATGTCAATAGGATCAAGAACTTGTTTATGCAGATGGGCATGGAGCCCACTGAAAGCGCTGGAGTCACCCCCAAAACCAGGGGGAAGGGTGGCCCCCCGTCACCTCAAAGGCGGATTAGGCCCAAAGAATTTGTAGAAAAAGCAGATGGCTCCATCGTAAAATTGGAATCTTCCGTTTCAGAGAGGATTAGTAGGTTTGATACTATCCATGATGGTCCTTCTTACTCCAAGTTTACTGAAACTCGAAAGATGTTTGAGCGAAATGCTCATGAAACGGGACATTCCCATCGCTATTCCCCAAAGAAAGAGAAAGCGGCTTCCATTGAGCTTCCGGACGAGTGGTGCGGCGCCAAATCTCACCGGGGCAGCACCGATTCCCTGGACAGCCTTAGCCCAAGGACAGAGACCGTCTCCCCGACTGTGAGCCAGCTCAGTGCAGTGTTCGAAAACACCGACTCCCACAACGTGATCGTTTTGGAAAAGTCGGAGCACAATGAAGAATACTCTGTGACAGGTCACTACCCGCTGAACCTGTCCTCCACTGTCACTAACATCTCCTCCCCTGTTGCCAACCTGGAGGGCTTCAGTCCTCTGAAATCAGAGGCCAGCACGTGGTCGCCACCAGCCACACAAAGCACGAGCTTGGCATCCATTGAGGGCCCCCAACAGAACAGCACATCGTCCACGCCGAGACAGCAGGCGTCCACAGGCACTTTGCTGGCTTCCAAACCAGCTGAGGAAATCAGAAAGAAAGCAGAGGCCGATGCTGCTGAGTGCTGCGTGGGGCACCTGCAGGATGAGGCCAGCCCCGGCAGCGAGAGGGCCGTGGACAGTTGTGCTAGGAATAAACCCAAAGCAGACACRGAGGTTTTCTTGGGACAAAAGGAGCGGTCAGAAAACRCAGAGGGTGCCTCTGGTAGAGCTGRAGCTGCAGAAGCACCAAGAAGTTCAGTGTCGGGTGGTGATTTCGTGGCAGATGCTGTTTCAGAYGCTGCCGAGTCGCACTACGATGAGGGCAGCGAGAAGGAAGTAAACGAAGACGGGGACAGTTTCCAGAGCTCCCATGTGTACATGCACTCCGACTACAGCGTGTACAGGGTGCGCTCCAGGTATAACTCTGACTGGGGAGAGACGGGCACAGAACAGGATGATCAGGATGACAGTGACGAGAATAACTGCTATGAGCCTGATATGGAATACTCCGAAATTAATGGATTGCCAGATGAGGATGAAATCCCAGCAAACAGAAAAATACAGTTCAGCCGCGCTCCGATCAAGGTAAAGCTCCCGGCGCTCTGTCTCTGCTGTTTGGTTCATTGTTAAATGCAACTTTTTTTTCGAAGCAGGTTTGGACAGTTGGCTCTGAAAACATTGCAGAGCGTCTTCAGATGCACATTTTTGTTACAGTGAGTGAGCATCATCTCGAGTGCTGCACGGGCGGTGGGGCCCTGGTGAACCCGTGTCCTTTCCCGTCATCCTTCGTGGTTGATGAAGGTAGCAGACAGGCAGACAGGGAGGCTGGCAGAGTTCTGAAATTTTAACACACATCTTTTGATTTATCTGCTTGCGAATTATAGTCTTATGTGAAATGTGGAAGTACTTGGTAGCCTTGATGGTTGTTTCATTTGAAACATTCGTTCATTTCATTGATTCATTCATTTTTTCATTTGAAATTATAGCTTATTTAGATTGGATGGCCTCTCTTTAGCTCATCTTAGATGCTCTTTAAAGTTGTTCTATTGAAACACCATGTCATGAAATACAGTGTGCTGCTGGAGAGCGCTTCTGTCTTGCTAGGGGAACACCATAAATATTCTGTATCTGAATCAATATTATCTTTTCTAGTAGTATCTTTGCTATTTTAATTTTGTTCATACCTTTTATGCATGTTTAGTATATGCCAGTTCAGCAGGGGCTACAGAAAGGTAAATGACTTCATAAATGGTGGGTTTCTTGCAGAGTGTTTTTGCTTGTTTTTAAGTACCTTAAAATTAGAGCTAAAAACATGGACAGTTTCAAGAGTTTTCAGCACAGGATATAATAACTACTGTAGTGTTTTATTATACTGGCATTTCATAACTGAGTCTCAGGATTAAGTATAAGGTATTTTACTTTTGAAATGTGTTTACTATACRTGGTCTCAAATGCTAAAGCATTGCCAAAGCATAGTTGTTTTTCCAGAAATTTCTCTTAAAAGCAACATGGTGGAGTACTCGAAAAGTTTGGTGGAATTCTTTTGAAATGAAGAATCTGAAATGAAATGAAATTGCCTTTATGAGTTTCCTGGTCAAAATTCTTAAATAAAAAAAGTTTGATTGTCACACTTGAAAGTGATGTCACTTATAAAATTTCTGCTTTGGTGGTTTAAGTAAGGGTAAGATGTCCTTGTATAAGGAAATCTTAATCTGAATGAAGCAACCAAGTTTTCACATCTGTTTGCTGGGGAGGAAGTTACCTTCTGTTCTTTGTACTGTTGAAAGACCATTTTTATACTAAAAATAAGCAGAGCCAAAATAATAGATTTGTTTATTAATATTTTTTTTGGACTTACATCATTGACCAAAAATTTTGACATTGTTTGTGCTCCTTCTGGATTAGTCCTGTAATGAAACTAACTGGAATTATTTAAGTTTTCTTGGAGATGAAGTAGGGAAACCATTAGTTACGCAGGACTATGGAAGACCCTTTTTTCCCTCCCTCTTGCCCCCCCCAGGCTGCATTAACAGGCAAGATGACTCTCCTGTTTTCTGAAAAGTCTGCCAATTGTGGGCAGGAGTTTCTTCAGTAATACCTAGTATGAGTCAAGCATATAGGAATTCTGACAACAATTACACTAATTTTGTTCTTGAAATGGTAGTTTTTTTTAACACTTTGTGTTTTGAAAGGTAAAACAGTGACATTACTTAAGCATATTGCTGTAGCCTGTGATCAGGCTGTTTTTACTTAAGAGTAAGGTAGTCGTGACAGGTGCTTTAAATATATTCTCTCTCACTTATTAATTATAATTTTTTTCTTTCTTGAAATTTTCTTGCTATGTTCAGTTCACACTACATCTTAGGAAGTCAGGTTTATAGTCAGTCAGGAAAAAGCACCCAGAGGCCATGTGAGTAAACAGCAAACGAGTGCATTTGTCCTGGGTTTTGGAGTACAGCCTTCTTAACTGGCCAACCCAAAGTAAAATAAATGCTGCTTTAACTACGTTAGCATTCACTACCCATTGTAGATAGAAGAAAAAAGGAGTGAAGGCTGAATTTGGAGAAGAGCATAGAAGGAGAAGTGCTTTGGAGCTCCCCATGTGGCTGCGTTGGGCCTGGCCTAGATGCGCGTCATGTCGGTCACGGGGGGAAACCAGAAGTGGGGCCCGTGCGGAGGAACCGCAGCAGAAGTTGTGGAGAACTCACAGCTGCTGCTTTGCCTTCCTCTCCTAAAATTACTAAGGTAATTTTAGCCTTAGTAGGCAAAACTTGTTCCACTAACGCTTTCCTAACACCTCACCTCGTGYGTAGCTTATCTGGGAGAGAGGAGAACACAGAGCAACATGGGCCTCTTTTCTGTCTGGTTGAAAATCGATCCTCTGAAAATGAAGTAATTTTTACTTGCAAGTTCTGTTCCCCAGCAGTGCTAAATGTCCAACCCAAACAGTTGGGCACTCCAGGTGTTTACTGCCAAGTTCTCACCATAYCGTTCCTCTGCTCCTCTTCCACGTTATAACAAAATCAGAATCTTGATTTGTAGACAGTGGGTAGTTGTTAYCTAAAAGTTTTTACTCAAACATCTCAAAAGATTCACTTAAATGTTTTTTGATTGGTTGTGGTTAATGTACATTTTCAAGAGAGTTTTCAAATAGACGTGTAGTAAATACAATGAAAAGAGAGTTTAGACTGAAAAGCAATAAGATTTTGTTACCACTGAGGGGAATCTTCCCTGTTCCTGTAGGGGAAACTATGGGCTTTGGGAAGTAGTAAAGTAGAGGGATATATTAATAAACTGTAAAAATTTAGCTCTGCTCATCCTGTGAGAAGGAAAAAACACAGTTACTTAGAAACCTGCTCTAAGGAGTAGCACACAAGTGAATGATTACAGGAAATTCTGCTCTTGTACAAGCTGTAATTTCGCTATCACAGATCCCATACTCCACGGGCCATTTACTCAGCTTTTGGATTACGGGATTTGTTTGCTTATCTGGTCTCTGTTGAAAATTAGTTTCTTGAGGAGTCCATGGCTGCCCAAGGGTCGCAGTAGCCTTGGGGAGTATCTAGGAATTTGGAATATCACACCACATCTGTAAGCAGCTGAACATGTGTTTTGGGGCTCAAGGAACATGTGTTTTGGGGCTCAAGTCAGCTTTGAAAAATAAAAACAGTCTAAAAGTGTGTGGACATGAGTTAGTTGTTTTGCTAAACAAGATGGGCATGTTTAGTGTCTAAATATTTATGTGGCGATGGCTTGGGTGGCTTTCTTCAGCAGTGCTCTGTTCTTGTGTCAAGATACCCTGTATCTGCAGGGCTGGATAGCTGAAGTGTTTCAAGGTGAAGAAGGGATAAGTTGCATGAGTGAATGAGAAGGAAAATTCAATCAAAAGGTTTTGTCAGGAATTCTTTTCTGCCAAAAGGAGCAGAAACTCCGTGATTTACTGGCCTTTCCTTGAGTGCTGTGGTCCCAGGTGGGCGTTCAGGGCCTCACTCCTGCGCAGGCACTGCAGGGTTAGAGGGCAGGCTCTGCCATTAGCTGAGCACTTCCCACACTGGAGCAAATGGAAATGAATCATCCAAAGCACAGCCCTTTTTGAGCAAGGCTTTGACCACCCTTGCTGGAATTAGGATGGAGGATTAATTTCCACATCCCCTCCTTGCCCCCAGTCCGAAATGTCTAGTACCTTAATGTGGCTGCATCTTCAATTACTACCTTGTTTTTGGTGCCAGGTCCCACGTTAGACCATTTAAAGCAGTTGGCAGAAATGGGTATCGGCTGCTGACCTCTCTTTTAYAGCCTTCTATTTGACTTCTCTACARCCAAACAGGGAGTTGGACTTAGATGATGTCCTGGAGAGCTTTTCAACCTCAACGAGCCTGGGGCTCAGTAAACAGAGGAGTCCCGGTGCACGTACAGAAAAATGAGCAGGTTTAGTTCCCTTCTGAAATCTCTGAAGTGATACCGTCCTTTTCTTAAATTTGGTTCTCTGTTCTGGCCACCATGTCTCTCTTTCTCTCTCT